TATTTACTTGATTGTAATTTCATTTATTATTAGATTCTCATCTTGATTAACATCATAATATTAATCGTCAATAGCTGATTATGATATCGGATTAAGATTAATTGAAATCCAGATTTGGTAAGGAATAATAAGCCGTAAAAAAAGTTAGTTGAAAATTGGAAATCTTGAGCTGACATACACTTGTATCGCCTTACCGGAATAATAAATTTCAGTCAGCTCATATCTGAACTTTCAGCTGACTAATTTTCGGCTTACAATTCACGGATTTATGGAAAATGATATAAGCTAATTTATTGAACTAAGGTGGGACAGCAGCAGCAGTAAAGCCAGAAATTTCAACAATGGAAACGATTAGTTTAATTTGACAAATATGAATTCCGAATTAATTCACTTCCTTGGAAATAAACCAAATCGATTCCTAACATTTAATTGACTGACTAAATCCACTTGCTTTAAAATTAAAACAAATTAACTTTATTAAATTAAATTAAAATCAAACATAATTATTAAGTTGAGTAGTATGAAAACCTCCAAACGGAAATGGGGGTGGGGATCAGAGAACGTTCTAGAACATTCTAGAAAGTTCAATGAACTGTCTGGGATGACGTCAATAGTGTCCTTGAAACCATCATTCGATGTTAGGACTAATGAACTGAGTAGAATGACGTAATCAATAAAAAATGATGCAATAAAAATAGGTATAAAAAGCACTAGTCTTTGTTAGTTAATCATTATTATCAAAATATGGACAGATCAAGTTGTGTTTAATTATGGTGCAAGTGGCCTAAAAGCCAATCTAATAATTAATATTGTTAAAAATGAAAATTTGACAGTAAAGATAACTGAATGGGCGCATAGTGCACCAGCTGGGTTTGATGAAATCGATGGACCAAATTGGACTGTTGAAGTCTCTTTCGTTACATTCAAACGTTTAAAAGCTCTTGTTGATCAAATAGATTATGACAATCTCCCGAATAAATTGATATTTGGCCATGTTAAAGCGGATTTGGAGTTGATCAAGCTACTGAAGAGCAAAGAACTCTCAGAGAAATATGAATCTTTCTTGGTCAAAAATGATCTCGAATATCGAATGTCAACGAATATTTTTATCTCATATATTTGTTACAATACTAACTCTCACATCAGAGCATAACAAAATTCGATGACTCACCATCTGTTGTTGTTTCAATATTTTGGTTTTGTTGTGGTGCGTTTCTTTCGACTTGTTCCTGTTGGTTTGTTTCAGCTAGTACTTCTTCTTCTTGTTGTTGCTGTTCTTGTTGTTGTTGAACCAGAAACCGTTCTGTAAACTTACCGAATAATGAAAGTAATTGAAGTGGAGCTAGAGGTATAAACATTGTTATTAATATAATAAAACAAACGAATTAATCAGATAACTAAAACTTCTTATGATGAAAAAATAACCACAATAACATTTACTGTAAAGCTAGATGAAAAAAGTAAACAGGAAACGGAATGGTCACATGATATGTTGCTTAGCAGCAAAGATCACGTGACCATTCGACCGCATTCATTTGAATGATTTTATTTAAATTAATATAAATAGTGAATAATTTTTCCCCCACTTCCGCTTCTGAGCCACTCAGAAGCGGAGGTTTTATAACTACTAAGTTGAACCATCACCATCAAAAGATAATGATTGATTTAGAATGATTAAGATTATTATGACGAGAATCCATTATTCAGCCGATGGGGTTTCTTTACTTTTTTGTGGTCGTGCTGCTGGTGGTTCTTTGTTTCGCTCTATCATGCATGAAGGAGAAATATGTTTTTCGAATGAATCGATGTCTCGAAAAGCTTTGAAGCACCCATAACAAGCAATCAGGAAATTATTACTTAATAGATGTCCTATCAGATCATCTCGATTAGCAAAAGGATATTCTCCTTTGCAAGGGCAGGGCTTGTTTGAGCACTTTTGGCTTTTAGTTTTTCAGCTTCTTGTTCAGCCGGTCGAACCAGTGATTCAATTCGGAAAATCAAGACGGCTCGCTTGGTGGAAATTTCCAAAATTTGCATTTTAATGTGCTCTTTTACCAAAAAGCACAATAATTGTCGTCAACATTTTCAATCTCAAATTCACTGTTTTCAGAATCGGTTGATCGAGTTAAATCGTATAGTTTAACCAAATTTTGGACATTCAGCGAGTTTTTGACTGATTCTATTACCTCTTGCAAGGTAAGTGGAACCAAGTGTCATTCTCTTCTGCTTCTTTAGCAATGATGCTAATCCAATTTACCAGTTTGGATTCATAATCGACTCCTTTAGCTGGAGTTATTTTTACTTTTTTTTGTCTTTCTTGACTTAAACTCAGGATCTTGCGAATCCACAATAGTTGGATGCTCTTTGACTAACCACGCCTTGTAGGGGCAAACAGCACAGTGTTTTCTGATTGACAGAGTCATCACCATCGGCTTTCCACAGGGAGTGCAATAAAGAATTACACGGGCAACCCGCATTACGTGTCTGAGGACAGTTGAAATGTCACCAGTGAACAATTAACGCAACAATCTAAGATTATTGAAAGTGTAAAAGTTGAGCTAAATGACATATCTGAAGCCATTTTGTTTAATTAGCAATTAAACTTTTGATTTGATTGTTGTGCATCGTTGTTTTTACCATAAATCAAGGACGTGAGTTAAATTATTTGGGCTCAGTTAATTAGTCGATTAATCTAATTCATGGTATTGACCAAGAAACAATTAAATCAGCTGATTAGTTTTCCTCTTGTTAACTTTTTCTGAGTTGATTAAGCTTAAATTAGGTTGATTTTTTAGTTAACACTTTGAGATTTGATTGTTTGTTTATAAATGAAGTTGAAACAATCAGAAAAACAATTGTAACAATTAAAAAGTTTAATCTTAATCTCACGATGTTAAACAATCTTGTTGATTGATTTGTAAATCACATTGTTAGTTAATCATCACCAACGAAAATGAGTAAAAGTAAATACAACAGCAATTAACGAGTGTAATCATTTAGGCCAACAATTTAACCTTCTAACCAATTAACGAGTAACATGTAATACCAATCAAGGAAAAGGTGAATCCAATCACAATATTGATAGTTAGTTAATTGTGATAACAAAATAATAATGATAGACAACAGAACAACAATAACAATCAATAAATTATTATGATTGAATATAATAAATTAAAGTGCTAAAAATAAAAGTTTAAGTCACAAAATTGATTAAAGATGAATAAGATTAATCATTGGAAGAAGATGATTAAACTAAATCAATTGTTATTAGATTTATAATCAAACACAATTATGATTATCAACATATTCACAATGAATAGGAAACGTGTTTATATTGACCTGTTAATTTGTATTATTGTGGTTATCATATCAATCCAAATGGTCAACTGGTCAACATGAACTTGCAAAAAAAAGGGTAATAGTTTCATGAAAATGAAATTCAGTGATTGAACTTTTCATGATTTTAACCATGAAAATGAGAAAGATCTTTGATAAAAAAAAACAAGATATTAGATGAGAGTGAATTTATGATTAGTATATAATTTAGATTGGATCATGATTCAGATGAGAGAGTTGATATAATAGCCTGAGGGGATTGTTGTAGGTGGAGGAGGAGATGATGAAATGATCAGATTTGAGGGTAAAAATTGAGACGATCAACATAATATTATTAATGGGTGATTGGTTATGTATTATTAGCCTGAATTTGGTAATCCATTTGATTAGTATTATTATTAATCCACTTAATCAGATAATTTTTTCAAGTGAATGTGTAAAAATAATTGCACAGATAATCATCAATGACGATATAATAATTTATTATATAGCAAAAAAATAAATCAAATGGTAAAAGATGAGACCCAAATTGAGCTTAATCAATCCTCTAAATCATAGCTAATCAGTTATCATCATCTCTTAATCATTGATTATTATGATGGCGATGGTTGTAATCATTGAACCATCATTTAAATCAAAGTTATCCTTTGATTATGGTGATGATGATGATGATGATGATGATGATGATGATTGATCAATAAGAGTAAGCAAAAGTTGATCGTTGAAATTGATGAAAATCATGAAAAGTGAGATGATAACAAAGAGGAAAAAGTTTGATATGATGATGATAATCAACTGTCAATCAATAATCATCAGCAAGACAATTGTATCATCATCATCAACCCTCAGTTTTGTTTGTATGTATTAAAAAAAATCCCTTCAGGGTAAGAAAATAATTTCTTCATCTTTTTCATTTTTCACTATTTTTCCCTTCTTATTGACTATTATAATCAGTTAATCACAACAATTGAAATGGTTAAAAATTGTTGCTTAATGGTTATAATCAAGTAATCATTTTGTTTGATCATTTTTTGGTGATGATCAATTTTTGATTGAATTGTATAAATCAACTGTTGATGTTAAATTGTTTCCAACTATCTAATCATATGCTCATAATTATTTATGATTTGAATTTATTATAATTAATCAACCTCATAATCAATGATCAGCTTGATACTTTTATGATGATTATAATTTGTTAACTTTAATAGTTGTTAAAGTGTAATAACCAAATTAGTTAATTAGCTTCAATATTTTCCAGTTAATTGAGAATAAAGATGAAAAGATTGATTAAAATAACACTCCAAATCATCTAATCTCAATAATATTCGCATATTAATTAATTTTTTTGTTCAGAAATTAATTCTTAATCAAGTTAATCTCATTCTTTCTCGTAATTAATTAATCGTTACAACTGATTAACATTAGGATCGATTATTAGAAATCATTAGCTCTTCTCAGGCAATACCTTAGATTCAAGAAGATTAGTTTAAATTGCTGAATTTAGAGAATATGGTCAACTGAATCTTCCAAATTAATAAATGTTTTCTAATTATTTCCTAATCAAATTGTTAATTAATTTTCTTCTTCTTCTTAATTCTGTTCGACTGCCATCTAGTAGTAGAAAAAGTAACTAATTCGAAATCTCGGTTAACTTAACAGCTGAAAGTTCATTTTTTTCCAAGACGATTTTTCATCTCAATCAAGTTCAATTTTCCAACAATTTTAACTGTTTCAATTTAATTGTTAATCTAATTTCTTTTTTCCTAATCATGGCAACTGCTGGTGGAGAATCTAAAAAACCAACTTGTATCATTGTCATGGGAATGGCGGGTTCAGGAAAAACTTGTGTTGTTCAGGTAAAAATCTTTGTTATTCTAGGTTGAGATTTCTTTTCAAATTTTTCTTTACTGGATTTACTAATTGATTCAGTTTGAATCTTTTTAATTTAGAGATTAACAGGTCACTTATATGGGACTGGTAAACCTCCGTATGTCATGAATTTGGATCCTGCTTGTATCGAATTACCATATCCAGCTAATATTGGTTGGTTCACTTTTTTTCTCTTGAATTCTAAGAATAGAATTTTTTTTAATTCTTTTTTTTAATTCTTTTCATTGGTTTTTTTTTCTTCTCTTTTTCAGACATTAGAGATACTGTTAAATATAAGGAAGTTATGAAACAATATGGATTAGGACCTAATGGTGGTATAATTACCTCTTTAAATCTTTTCTCAACTCGTTTTGATCAAGTAATGAAATTACTTGAGAAACGTTCAAATGAATATGATTATGTTATCATTGATACTCCTGGTCAAATAGAGGTTTTCACCTGGTCAGCCTCTGGATCAATTATCACGGAAACTCTTGCCTCAACCTATCCAACCGTCATAGTATACGTAATGGATATTGTTCGCAATATTAATCCAGTTACCTTCATGTCCAATATGCTTTATGCTTGTTCAATTATGTTCAAAACAAAGTTACCCTTTCTCGTGGTGATGAACAAAATTGATGTTCATGATCACCAGTTTGCCCTGGAATGGATGAATGATTTTGAAGCTTTTGAAGCATCATTAGAAAGTGAAACATCATACATCAGTAATCTTACTCGATCCATGTCATTGGTTTTGGATACATTTTACAAGGATCTTAAAGCAATCGGTTTCTCGGCCGTCTCTGGATCCGGGATTGACCAATTTTTCAAGTCAATTGATTCAGCTACCGAAGAGTATTACAAAATCTATCGAATTGAATATGAAAGAATAAAAAAAGAAGCCGAAGAAGCAAAAAAAGGTGAAAAAAAGAAATCAATGGAAAAGGTTGCTTTGTCTTCGGGAGAAGGTGAAGAGTTGATTTCCTTTGCTTCAGAGACCATGGATTCATCTTCATCCAGTAAATCAACTAGAACAAAATCAAGAACAATATCAATCATTCAAGAGGAAACCAATGAACAGATGCAAACTGAATCAAGAGATAATCACAAAGAAGATGATGAAGAAGAAGGTATTTATTACATGGGAATATATTTTTTCTCTTTTATTCTTGACATTACTTTTTATGCTTTTCTATTCTCATTTTCTGTCAATTCGTTTCTTTTTTTTCTCTAGATGAAGAGGAGCGTAAAGAGTATGAAGAATTTAAAAAATATCTGGCAACAATTAAATGAACCATGGAAACAAGTTCATCAGTGTGTTAATCAGATAAACCAAGTGCCCCAAAGAGATACATATTATACATGAATCGGTTTCCTTTTGAAAACAGAGAGAAAAACTTTTTCTAACTGCTCTTTCACAATTGATAAATTGTTTCTTATCATAATAATAAGGTTTATTTTTGTGTAAATTGATATAAGTGTTATATTTAAATATAATAATAATTTTTTTCTCTTTCTCTTGAAATAATGTTGATTATAAACTCTGGGTATCACTTTGAAGAGATGCAGGATAAATTGGTGGTGACGGATGAACAGAGGAAGTTACTACTGATTGTTGGGATTGGGGTTGGAGTTGAATTTGAAGTAATTGTTGTAACAATTGTTGATCCTCTTGGAGATTTGATTGGTGTTGATTTATCATTGGAAATTGTTGCTCTTGATCCTGTTGGTGTTGATGTTGGGGTTGGGGTGTAGGTTGAGGTTGAGGTTGAGGTTGAGGTTGAGGTTGAGGTTGAGGTTGCGGTTGCGGTTGAGGTTGGGGTTGGGGTTGGAGATGGGGCTGGTGTTGGTGTTGGTGTTGATATTGGATATGTGACATTAATTGTTGGTTAACAAGTTGGTGTTGTTGATGTTGCCGTTGTTGATTTAATGCCTGTTGAATTAAATGTAAATGTTGCTCTTGTTGATCTTCACGTTCCTGGCGAATTTGTTTTTCAATAAAATTAATATGTTGATAAGGTTGTTGATCGTAAAATAATTGCTGTTGATTTGATATTTGTGGCTCTAACTCGGGTGGTGGAATTGCCTCTTCAACTGAATATCCAAATTCTTTCAATTTTTCCATATCTTGTAATTTGTACTCTTGATTGGCGAGAACCATTTGTAATTGTTGTAACTCTTTCTTACTGTTCTCGGTATCAACAAGAGCTTCAGTTTTCTCGATTGCAGCTCGAGATAATTGCATCTCTAGATTTTGTATTCTCTCCAAAAGATTCAACTTTTCACACTTGAGATTTTCTAATTCCTCTTCTGAATCATCCATCATTTTAATTTTTGTCTCCGGAACAACGGAATTAGGAAATGGCATCTATTGAAAATAACATAGAGAATAGAAAGAAAAATATTATTACCAATAATTGGGTTAATAGACAATCTATCAACTTACAAATCTTGATGGATCTTCATTGAAATCAGTTCCACCATAACTTAGAAAATTTAAAGGACTAGAAGTTGTAGCTGATTTGTGGGCTTTCAATAAGGAATTTTGGTCTTTTAATTGTTGACATGTTGCAGTTAATTCTTTTAATTCCTCCAATTTTTTAGAATGCGAATCTTTCAAAGTTGTCAATTCATTTTTCAAGACGGATATTTGCTGATCTTGTTCACGAATCAGTTCCTTATATTGGATAAGAAGACGATGTTGCTCTGCAGACATATTTGATTCCGGGCCATTAATCAAATCTGTTGGATTATTTTGAACAACTTTGATAATAGTAGCTATTTGGAAAGAGAGAGAGAAAGTTAAATTGCTAATCCAAATCTGATAAATAAGTAGATTAATTCATTACAAATAAGTATTTGATACTTACCTTCGAGTGAACGGAATAATTTACAAAACTCATAGTCAAAGATTAGTTGATCAGCTTTTAGTGATTTAATTTGAGGCTTTTGTGAAGCTAAGCTAAACTTATCGCTCTTAGAAACTGAGCTTAATTTGTCCAAATAAATATCCAAACCAACTCTTTTAGTAATCAATTCAAGTAAATCATCTCTGGGGAAAAAAAGGAAAGAAAAAATCGCAGATAATCAGATAACCGATTAATACAACAAAGTTTTAATTGTTGACAATAATTTACCTTTTAAAACTCTGGACAGAATCATTATTATCATGGATACAAATACCCAAAAGGAATGCACTTAATCCTTGGATTAATATTTCAGCATCTTCACCTTCCGTCAGGCCAACTTGAGCTGTAAGCTAATCAAAAGGTAAATAATAAGTTAAATCAATGAATACAAACAATTAATAAGCGAATATTGTTATTCTAAGGTATCAATCAAATAGAGAAGAAAACAATTATACTTACATATGGAACGTTAGTAGGAATCTGAAGGAAATGTGATACCACAATTGGACAATTTGATAACCAATTTGCAAGAAACATGAGTAGCCCAATACGAGTTTGATTCTTTGAACATGATTGTAAAAGTGTACAACATTGTTTAATAAGAGGAATTGGTGGTCCATCATCTTCGGTGGCCAATTGAACTCTCAATAATTGCTCTTTCTGAGTCTTATTTCCAACAAGAGTGTGACTGAGAGCCGTTGAAACAAACCAGTTTGATAATGGATCATTTGAGAAAAGTCCTCCACATAAGAGTTGACCCATGGTTATGGAAGATGCTGAGAGTTGATAGAAAAGAAAGAAAAATAAATAAATTCAATATTTCATCACAATATAAAATCTTAAAATCATGAGATCAAGATAATAAAAGATTAAGGCTTACTTTCTGGAGCATTGGGTAATAGTGTTTGAACAACTTGAGCTTGAATGAACTCATTTTGAAATAGAAAACACTCAAAGCAATAAAGAACTGAACATCTTAAATCGAAACATTGTTTCTCATTAACCATGGACATAAGAAGGAGGATTAAAAGTGGTTTAGGAGGTTCAACTGGAGCTTCAAGTGAACTTAGATAATCTTGGTTGTGGTGATTTCCTCGGATTATTTCAGCGACAGTGTTTATGGCCTAAAGAAGTGAGAGAGAGAGAGAGTAAAAATATAGATACATTCATGTTAGAATGTTGATTATTTGGTAGTAATTAAGAAAATTACCTCTGTAAGAATGTCTGAAGGTACACCGACGGTTAAAAGGATATCACACAATTTTTTTAGAACACCCGATGAATGCATTACTTTTTGACAAGAAGTTGTCACTTGTTGAGGATTAGACGGAGAAACAAGAGCTCGAATAATTTGTAATAAGAAAAGAAAATTGCTTGTTCGGTGACCAGACCAATCGGTTGTTGCGGCCACTTCTAAAAATGGAATTAATCTTTGAATGTAACTTCCTTCTTTGAAAAAATTTTGATTAGAAGTATTGTTGATAAGAAGATTTCTAAGGACAATTAAACAGTCTTCAACAATGACACCTGAAAGTAGAAAAAATAAAGAATAGAAATAATTGTCACATATTATCAGTAGTTAACCAAAAAAAAAGAGAGAAATTAATTTACCTCCATCACTATAGCCTTCGGTTGCAATTATTTCAAGAAGTCTATCAAAGGCATTTTCAAAGGCAACTATTTTTTGTATATTAGCATTTCCTCGGGTTAAATGTACTAATAGGAGAATAGCATCATTGCGAATAATATCTCGACCATCAGCTAATAGATCAACCAATTTAGAAACACCCATTGGACTTGCAAGAATAGCATCTTGTATATGTTTCAATTTGTTTCTCAATAAACCCATAAGCAATTTAAGAGCAGGCCAACGGATTTTAAACTCATATTCATCTAGAAGGTCTAAGATTAGACTAACATTTTCCGTTCTTTTGGCGAACATTTCGGTAAATTGTATCCCATGGCCTTCGGTTTCTTCATTAGGTGAAACGGTTCCATTATAATCTGATGGATCTTCAGAGTGACCTAAAAAGAGAGAGAGAGAGAGAGACATAGACAGGATTTAATGGAAAACGTGTAGAAAATTTCAATCAATATGTTGAGCTATTTTTTGCTTACCTGAGATTATGTTGTTCAATGCATCTAAAGTATAACTAACAGCCTCTGGATCATTACGATCAGTGTTAAGAACACTAATTAAAACATCTAACCCTCGGGCACCAACTTCTAATCGATAGGTTTTAGAAAGTGACTTAAGAGCCCTACAAGCATCTCGACGATCATCAAGTAAAGTTGATGTTTCAACCCTACCAATAAGCTTTTCAATCTAAATATCAAAGATTTAAATGGGAAAATAGGAAATTAGAAAGAACAATAATTATTAGAATAAAAGAAATACAAATAGAAAATATGGAAATTAAATAAATCATACAATTGAATGAAAGGAATAAAAAAAAAATGAGTTACATTACCGTTTCTATAACCGAGGGTTGAACAGTTTCTTGTGTATTTCCAACAACAGTTTTCCAACTATTCTTCAAATACTCCATGGTAATTACCTTTTAAAATTAGATACAAATTAAGAAATTGATAAACAATTAAAAAGCAAATTATCTAATTGTTGATTAAATGGAAGAGAAAAAGAAAACAATATTGACAAATGTTTTCTTCTTTCTCTCAATGGACACATCACATGTTCTGTTACCAAGAGTTACCTAATTGAGGAACAAATTAAATTCCAAATGTTGATCAGATTTTCTATTCTTTTTTTTTCGAACAGTAATTCAATTAATTGTTTCCCTTAATTGTTCATCTTTTATCATCTTAATCATTGCAATCTTAACAACAACAACAAGAAAAAAACTCTTTCAACTTGGAACTTTGTCCGAAAATTTGTAACCAGCGCCTAAACTACGACACCAGGGGAACATAAATGTTACCATGGTGACGATCCGGAAACGGAAACATTTTGGATTTTGATTTGTTTGGGTTTTTAAGAAAATAATTTGTTTTTTTTGCTGAATTGTTATTGTAATTGTTGATAAGGTGTTCTAATTAATTTAATTTAATTTAATTTAGTCAAGGTAAGTTGATACTGGGCTTCTTGTTTTGTTTCAATTGGTTGTGATTGTGATTTTCTGTTTTCTGTTTTGACCAAATTATCGCTGATTGGGATGTGTTTGTTTCTATATTTGGTTTGTTAATGTTTTTTTTTCTTCTGTTTTTTGGCCTTATAGATGCAGATCTTTGTTAAAAATTTGGAAGGTAAAAGTATTGCCTTTGATGTTTCCGAGGAGACTGATGTTTCAGAATTACTTTTCGCTATTCAAGAGCGAGAAAATATTCCTTATGAAGATGCTCGTCTTATCTTTGGTGGACAATTAGAAGGTGGTTTTCACTTGAAGAATATGGTATTGTCGATGGATCAACTTTAACCTTGACCCTTCGATTGAGAGGAGGTACCATTGAACCTTCTCTTCTTCAATTAGCTAAAAAATATAACATTGATAAAATGGTTTGTCGTAAATGTTATGCTCGTCTTCATGCTAAAGCCACTAATTGTAGAAAACGAAAGTGTGGACACTCCAACAATTTGAGACCCAAGAAGAAGCCAAAACAAAATTAGAACTGTGGACAAACCTCAAAGTCATGGTACACTTATTGTTTAAAAGTGATTAAATCAAAGATATTGTCTCTTAAAAAAAACCAACCTTGACTCTCAGAAAAAACAATAATCATCACAAAAATCTAATTCGGTTCAATTGAAAACGATATTCAATCGGTATAATCCTCGTGTCTTCCTAATTGTGACCATTCGTTAGGCTTTTTCAGTGGTCACAATTTACTGAGATTATTTACTTTTAAATCTATTTATTAACAATATTACAGATCTAATTTTCTTTAGAAAGAAAATCTTTAAATTCTAAACAGTTTTTGGTTTTTTTATCTTCGGTTTGGTCGCGGCATCGCCAATTTTATCTATCCTCATATTTGATGCCTTCGTTAAGGCTCTGTACATGGAGAGCTTATCAAACAAAGGTGGTTCCTCTATCTCATCATAAGGAACAATAGTTTCATCAATTTCGGGCTTTAAATGAATCCTCGGATTAACAGGTTCTTCCATAATCTCTTTAGGATCATAACCATGATCGATTGCTTCGGGTAGAATAGCTTTTACTCGAGATCTTAAAATTCTCTCTTGATAATCTCTCTCAGCTTTACCAATCGCCATTGAAGGTTTAGGTCGATTTGCTTTTAATCGATACAATCTGATTAAATGTCGAATTTCAACAAATTCCCAAAATTCTTTAGTATTTGGATCATAATCACTTGTTCTCGGATAATGGTGAACATTAATCTTCCAAATCCACTCAGGATATTCACTATCATCTTTTAATTTGATATCTTCACCATTCTGAAAGAAGGGGATAAATAGATTTTATAAGATTAGAGACATGATTCATTGAAAGAGAATAGAAAATTAATTAGATGTTACCTGGTAGATGTTTGATCCACAAACATAATTAACTAATTTTTCTGCATCTTGTTCAACTGGTAAACGGAATCTTTTCTTACCAATGGATGTTTTTTGTGAGGAAAACAATCTAAGTGGAATATGACCGAAAGATTTGATTGGTGAAGAGAATAGAGTTTTCAATGAAGCCATATAATCAAAATAGAGAAAGAAACAATTAACACAATTAAGAAGAAATTAACTAATCAGTTGAGATAAAAACAAAAATAAACTGAAAAAATGAAAATGAGGTTTTGTTTTCAAAAGAAAATCAAAAAAGGTCAACAGATGGCGCAAGTGGAAACGAAACATACAAATTGTAACTTAATCATAATCATGATTAGTAATCATTGATTACTTTTATTAACAATAACCCAACCTAATTGATGACCATCATTCTTATAATTTAGGAATCCTTTGGAATGTTATTTGTCGTACCATCGGCGAGTCCACAAATTGTGATTGGCCTTCCAGCGAAACACCAAACAAACAAGAGATCAACTATTTTGTCAACGAATTTAATTGTCCCAACGAAAGATAAACTTGCTAACTAATGGATTATAACAACAAAGGATAAAGAAAAGAAAAACATTCAAATGAATCCAATTTAATTACGAGCTCTTATTGTTCAATTCAGGTAATTTCCATCTCTCAATCATAATGAACTTTATATTTTCTACCTGTTGATTCAATTGTTTCTTTTTAGGAAATTTCAAATTTCTCGCTTTTCATTTTCACTCTTGTGGCATTGACTGATCAATGGCTCTAATGGTGATCATCATTACTGGAAATTTAACTGTTACAATTTAACTAATTGTTTATCAAGATGCTTTTCACCTTCATCACTCAATTGGTAAATTCTATTGAACCATTTCTCCTCTAGGAAAAACTATTCATGGATTCAATTGATTACAGAGAAAAAAAAACTTTCTCTTCAATAATTTGCTCGGAAATATGATAATAGTTGTTATAGATTTCGCTTTAAGATAATCATGAATTAACCATGACAATCAACAAAAGAATTTGAATTTTTCAAGGTTTGTATCTTCTCGTTTAAGATTCTTGTTCCATTTGATGATTGATTTGATTCGCTTTTTTTCCCTCGATAATCAAACTCACAATCAATTTGTAATTTCTTTCTCAATACTTTTCTTTCCTCTAAATTGTCATACTTGTTTCTCGATCATGTTAATTGTTTCAATTTCTCTCTCATTTTCTCTGACAAAACAATCATTTTTTCCTTGATTGTTACAATTTCCTTTAAAACTTTCAACATTGTTCACTTAACAGTCCAAGTAATTCAACTGTCCAGTGGTGGAAATCATTTTCATGACAATACATTTAAAATGAGCTTAATGATTGTTTCTCATTTGCTTTGAGGTTAATTTCATTCATCATCCACTTTTACTCTCTCTCTCTCTCTCTCTCTCTCTCTCACTTACTCACTCTAATGGTCAGTATTGAGGATATTTCAATGATGATCTAATCTTTTTTGTTTCAGTTAATCTTACAAATCTTGACTTGAGCCTTGGAAAATTTCATAAGTGGATCTAATTATGTTAATAACAAATCAAGCTCGAACTGTTAACCATCAAAATGGATTCAAAGTTAAACTACTCAACAATTTGGTCCAATTATGGTTAAGCATTAAATTGTGATCAACCTTAATCCACAAGATTGGCATGTTCCTCATCTTAATCATCATTTTGAACGAAAAATTCCTACAACACCTACACAAAACTAATCGCCATTCAATTAAGACTCTTAATCAATGATGGAAAATTGTTATAACAACAATTCCAACATCATTATCTCAAATCTATCAATTATTTCAATGAAAATCTTCTCAACGAATTTAAAATTTACGATCTCCAGAAAAGTTGATACTTCCTTTTTGATTAAAGGTTAACATACATCCTCTAAACCACAGAAGCTTCAACAATTTAACTTTGAGCATTGTTCACAATACATTTAAGATCACAAAATATCATCCTAATCATTATCTTCATCATCCACCATCACGATAACAGGAAGCCTCATTAAGCTCTGGAGAAAAGGCCGTTGAAACTTAACCTTCCGTGAAACTTTGTGACAACTGACAAAATGACATACATCCGAATGGAAGAGCAGATAAAAACCTTAGGTGAGAGAGAGAGAGAGAGAGAGAGAGAAATAACCATTAATAGTGAATATTATGGTTACAACAATAAGGTAATTAAACAGAGAAAGAAAAAGTAAGATGAGTTCGATGGAAGCCAAAGGAGAGGATGAAGATTTGTGAGAGAGAGGAGGTGATGTGGTGGAAAGAAATTGGATAACATCAACAGAGGAAACTTAAAGGAAGAGAGTGGAAAGTGAAAATTACCTTTGATTGTGGTAATTCCAACGTAATCATGATATAATTGAGAAATGGTTTCAGATTTTCTCTCTCTCTTCTTACTCTTAAGCTACTCTTCATATTCTCTTTCCTCTTGTTCATAACCAAAGAAACCTTGTTTCTATTTACCTCTTGAAGAATAAGTCCAATCAACGAACTGGAGAAAGTGGAATTAAGGTGGAGAGAGAGAGAGAGAGAGAGACTTCGAATAAGCGGTAAAATTACTTAGGAATGTCCAACGAAGCTTAACCTTTCTTATGCCTTTTCTTTTTCTCTACCAAGGTCTTGATCAATATCTTCATCTATTGGTTTGCAAACAAAAGTTGATCAAGATGAAAATGATGGAGAAAAGGTAAGATGATGAAATAGAGAAAATTTCTGAGAGAGAAACAGCAAATTTACCTGTTGGAAGGTGTTAATGGTGAAAGTTGATCTACCGGTGAATTGGGAGAAATGATCAATAGTCAATCTCTTTAAATTGATTATAACAATTTCTCTTTACATTGTATTATTATGTTCATTTTAGAAACTTTAATTACTTTATTTTTGTTTTAAAGTTTCAAATGTAAATTGCAAAGGATTGGAACTCGGAAGTGTTTGTGTCATCAACTAAGAGAATAAAATTAATATTCATCACTCAATTATGCTATCACTGTGCTAATTGTGATTAATTGAAAATCCGGGTACAATTAACATGGGCAACAACAATTGATCGACAACAATAATTGTTTTGTGAAAAGTGTTTCCTACTCTGTCAATCTTGATGATGGAATCGCGACCAGAAAACACAAAATTGATGGACAATTGAAGTTTTACTAATTGTTGACAACAAAAAAAGGAAGAAGAAAAAATTAAAGAGAAAAACAAATTGGAATAAGATTTTGTTTAATTTGTCAACAAACAATAAACTGTAAATCGTTTCATTCCAATCGTGGGATCATCAGTTGCAATCATTTCCATCGTTGGGTGACAATAACTTCGTCCACAGGGAGAGAGAGAGGAAGAAGAAGAGAAGAGAAAAATCTTCAACCATAAGAAAACTTCGGGAGAGAGGAAATCAAATGCGTGCTTCAAGTCTCACTTTCCTTTTCTCTCTCTTCTCTTTCTTACCTTTTTTCGCAACATTTCTGCATCTTCATCTCTCTCTCTCTCTCTCTCTCTCTCTCTCTCTCTCTCTCTCTCGCTGTTGATCCACATTCTGTTTATGTTTTGGATGTTAACGTTTATCGGATACTTCCATCAACTTATTGTTGTTTTTGTTTCCATTTTAAAGTTTAATTGTTGAAACGATAAAACAACAACAAACATGAGCTTGAAAACAATATTGAGAAATTTTCTCAATCACTTTGAAACGCTGGAGGAGAGACGCAAATGTCCCAATGATGACGAAGATTTATACGCAATTGAATTTCAATCTCTCAAAGAATTAACTGAATCTCTTAAACGTGAAAATTTCTACGCCTGTAAACATGGACTTAAAGACGTTAATAGAAAGAAAAATCGATACAAAGATATTCTTCCATGTAAGTATCTAATTCCTCTTCCGATTAACTAATTGTTTCAAACTTGTAAATTGATCAGCGAAAGAAAGAAACAAAAATGAAAACTTGATTCTAATAACTAATCCAATTCTCTGATTTCTTTTTCTTCTAGATGATTATAGTCGAGTGATTCTAAGTGAATACCCTGGTGTTCCTGGGTCCGATTATGTTAACGCCAATTTTGTTCGTGGATCAACGGGATCGGCCTGTGCCTACGTCGCTTCTCAAGGTCCACTTCCTAATACCGTTGTTGATTTTTGGCGTTTAATTTGGGAATGTGAGGTTCGGGTCATCGTAATGGCCTGTAATGAAACCGAATCGGGAAAATATAAATGTGAAACTTATTGGCCTGCAGTTAATGATCAGGAACAACAATATGGCAATATAACTGGTAAGCAAATTAGATGATCAATTAACTTTCCCTTTTTTTCAACTAATCAACCAAGTGAAAGTTAAATTAATTCAAATTACCTGCATTGTTTTTCATTTACCTGTACATCAAAGTTAATCATAATTACCACTAGATTAACATCAGAATTAACTTATTGGTTTAGGTTTTTTTCACGTTTATAACTTTGCATAATTAGTGTAATAGTTTTAAGGACATTTACTATTCATGATTTTGATTGTAATCAGTGAATTTTAATTCTTGAAGCCCTTGATTTACTTTTACATTAACTGATTTACTCACATTAATTTTGTTACCTCAACAATTAGTTGATAATCTACATGATGAGTATAATTATTTTTCATCAACTTTTTTCAACTCAATTCAAACTTTTCTGGTTAAATCATAATTGTTGTCATCTTTTTGTTATCATTGATTCACAACAATCATGACTACTTAATGATGTTGTCAATTCGTTGGTTGAATTGTTATTTTCTTGTGATACATTATTTTACACTAATCGTGTTGTATTATTATTGAACAATTAGTTAATTCTAATTTTACTTTTTTCTTTTATTATTTGATTCTTTTATTTTCTTCACCTCTTTTCAACAGCTCAACAGATCGATTGGAGACAAGTTTGTCCCGATTTTCTGGTTCGCACCTTTAGGATTACATGTGACAACAAAGAACGAATTGTTTGCCAATTCCATTATACAACTTGGCCTGATCACGGGGTTCCCACGACGGTCGGACCGATTTTGGAGCTTGTCAGGTTAATGAGAGATGTCCAAGCAACTGAGGCAACACCAATTCTGGTTCACTGTAGTGCGGGTTGTGGCCGAACGGGTACAATTTGTAGTATAGATTATGTTTGGGCTCTTCTACGAACGGGAAAACTAGAAGAAGGTCAGTTGGTCATTTGGTTTTCTTTTCTCTAAGAATCGGGTACCAAGAAGAAAAAGTTACAGTTAACGATTGATGATCGACCCTTGGGTTTACAGTTTACAACTCCAATTGATTTTTTCCCTTTATAATCAATAAGAAAAATACTTGTATCAATTGTAATCGCTTCTCCTTTTTCTCCTTGATCAGTTATAATCGAAATCCATTATCGTTTATTAATTGTTTTGCTCTCTTTTATTTCTTTAGATTTCAGTTTATATAAAATCATCCATGAGATGAGGAGACAAAGGATCGCAATGGTTCAGACTCAGGAACAGTATATACTTTGTTATCGAGCCGTTGCTGCGCTTTTCGAGCAACAATTAAAGGTTATTGATGCTCATACATATGAAAACTTGGACGAAGATGGTGAACCATATCATAAGTAAGTTAAATTAAATTACGAAATTCAAATATTCAAGTTATATTTGTGTGTCTCAATTGGAGGAAATGAAATGTGATTGTTGTTTTTATTGATTGACTACAATTTAAAGGCTATTTTATTCTGATTGTTAGTCAACTATCCATGCGAAAGTTAAGAGAAACAGCCAATAGATTGTTAATAGATTTCGATGATTACATTTCCGCTCTTCTTTACAATCAATTTGGAAATAAATTGTTTGTGGAAAAAGTTACGCAAAGATTAGCCCGTTTTTTATGATCTCTTTTTTGTTCATCGCTTGTTATACTCTTGATTTACTTTTCATTCATCTAATTCATTTCTCTTTTTGTTATGATTTACGTTTGATTTTTTATTCTTCTTGTTTCTCTTTCTAAAAAGGTTTGCTGAGGAAGCGAATTCAAGTTCTGATGATGAAGAAAGCTCGCCAGGTATCAGTGAAGCAGAAATTCATTATCGACTTGAAAGAAGTGCCACTTTTCCGAGTAAAGATATGAAACAATTGGTTGACTCTTGGAAGATTAAAAAAATGACAGCTACTCCATCCACAGAATTACCTTCACATCCTTCAGGTGAGTGACCTGGTCATTTGTTGACCCTTTTCAAGGATAAAGGGGATGGATGATATAAAGAGAAGAATTAAAAATTTCATTGCTTACAATTGAAATTTTTTTTTCTTTTTTTGTTCAATCATATTTTCCATTTAAAAACTCATCCTTCGTCTTTTTATCTCTCCCTCTCTCTCTTTCTCACTCGTTTTTCTTTCTACAGATTCAATGATATTCAATGAAAATCAAGGTAGTCATGATAATAAACAGGAAAAGTTGATCGGGAAGGCAACAGTGATACGTCGTCCAAGCATAGCGAAGTTTAAAGCGATGTTTGGTTCAATGGAATTGGCTCATCATCAACTTCGCTCTCAACATTCCCAATCTCATCCTCATCATCTTCACAATACATCACATTTTCGTCCATTGGAACCTCCTCGTTTGGAAACTCCCTCTGATAACGGTAACAATAACAATCCAAACAACAACGATCTTTCCAACAAAAGTACCAACAACGGAAACAATAACAACTATTTCCATGGGAACAATTTTTCATCACGTTTTCAGGACTCCGATTGTACAGATTCGGTGACCACTTCAGACCAAGAAACTGAAAATGACCGTGAACCCTCATCTCAAATTACCGCCAATCCTTTATGTGAACCTAAAAAACCGTTTTCCTATTTGGCTCCAGAGCAACTTAAAGCTTTTAGCGCTCATCATCTTAATCATAATCATTATCAACAAAAACAACAACAACAACAACAACAAAAACCTCCTTCATCACCTTCACCTCCTCCACCACCTCAACTAATCGGAGATACGAGTAATCGAGACACAGCTGATGATGAAATTGATGGTCAGCCAACCTATGAATCTCCAGCAGATATAATCAGACGCCGACAACAACAACTTCATCTTCATCAACAGAAGCAACAACATCATATTAATCAACTACAATTACAACGTCAACAGCAACAATCACAGTTTCCCCGCATCCGATGTTCCAACGATCATTTGATGATGGAATGATTAATCTAATGAATAAACATCGTTCGAGTCTATTAAAAGATTTACCTCCTCCACCTAAACCCCCAAGGACATTTCAATATGGTACAAAAGGCAATACAATCTCTCATATGAATGGTCGCGCCCTTTTAAGTCCACTGGAATCAAATAATAGCGGTCGTATCATAGTTTCCGTTGCTAAAAGGTAATTTAAATTACTGTTTCTTACAATAGTTCAATTAACTTGATTGTTTTCTTTTTCAATTCTATCCAGAGTAAGACCTCGAATTCACATTCCCGATGATGAACGACCTTCGTTTCCTGAATCTAAAAGTCACAATGATCTCTATTCGGCTTCAACTTATTCTAATTTACCATTTTCTTTTGCTCGATCGTCACCAGCACCTCCACCTTCAGCTCCTTCGAGCACCATAACATCTCAATCTTCCCAAGTAAATCAGTATTATGGTTATATTTCATCTGGAAAACATCAATTGGATAAATTAAGTCAAGATTCAAATAATCAACCACTTTACGAACGATTAAAACATGACCTTTTCCAAACACAAACCAATGGGCATGAACTATCGTTGAGTGGTAGATCATTACTCCGTCCACCAATACATCGAATGCCTTTAACTAATGTAAACAAAATAATTAACTGTGGAGGTGGAATCGGAATTGGTGGAGGAAATGATGGATTACCACAGTTTCTTTCACCTCATCGAAATTTACCCGAACCCAATCGTTTTGGTAATTTAACAGTTCGACGAGAAATAACAAGTCCACCACTTTTAATGCAGAATCCACATCAATCCAATCAATTGGTATCTCGAAATCATGGAATCTTTCCCGGTCTTAATGGTCAGAATTTACTTCATCCGATACCATCATGTCCACGTCCTCCAATCAAACTTCCCGATTGTAATGACCTGAGAAGTGTCGCCGGTGATAATAATAAAATAGGACAACAAGCAACTTCAAATATTAAAATGAATTCATTCAATAGCAATTGTAGTAACAATCAACAGTCGGAACAACAACAAATCAACCGGTCAAACGGTAATAATAATAAACCAAATCAAAGTAACAACGGTACACCTCGAAGTGGAATCCCAATCTCAGCAACTCCAACACCAGGAACACCGATTGGAAGTAAATTTAATAACAATAAAAGCAACGAGCACAATAACAATATGAACAATAACACCAGTGATAAAAGTTCATTAGAAGTTGGTGTTCGTACTAATGAAAATAAGAAAAAATCAACCAAATCAAACAGTAAAAGTGATTCTAAACTTGGTAATCAAGTTAATCAAGGGAATCAAGAGACTAAGAAACATTCATCATTCTCGTTTTCTAGTACATTTTCCCGTTTCGTAAAACAACAAAATCGAAAAGCTCAGCTAGTCCTAATCAACAATCAGGCCCACAATCTATTCCCGGTAATTAAAGTTAACCCCAATTGTCTAGATAAATAATTAATCACTAATTTGTTTTTCTCTCATCTTTAGGTAACAATACAAACATACGACCACCTCATTCACACCGGTTTTCCCCTCCAACCCAATGGACGCAAGTTTAATTTTCTACCTGAAATGAATTAATTAGTTATTATCCAATCTATTGATGAACAATTAGTGGTGATGATTAATGATCTGATTAATGAAAATGAAAAGCAATTGTATCGTGCAATAAACGACCATCTTTTGCCGTTGATTTACCACTTTGATTCACTTCCATCCGAAACAAAAATAAGGCCAAATATAATATTTGACCAAAAATCTAATCTAATTGTACAACATTGATCAATCTTTATTATTTATAATCAATCAATAATTGATATTAATTAATTATTTTTTGTCGAAATCTTTTCTTTCATATAAACCCAACTTTTTGAAACAATCAGTTGGGAAAACTCAACCAACATGTTCAATTTTCTTGTAAAAAAAAAAACAATTCCCACACTTAATCAAATTGAATCAAATTTAATTTCGTTTACAAAAATAAATCAACTTTCAGATTTAATTGATTCGAATTCTGTCATTTTTTTGAATTTCGCGCGCATTTTGTTTCTTTTCGTATCCAGGCAACGGTCCGGAGGCGGAAGCTCTTGAGAGAGATTTTTTTCTTTGGTTTTTGTTGTTTACTTTAATTGTGATTGTAATTGTTAATTTTGATTAGCAATTAATTTAATTTAATCTATCCAAGGTAAGATTAGAAGGTTCATCTTGTCCATTTCATGTTAATTTAGTGTATATTTGAATGTTTTGTTGACCAAATTAACTTCGGTGGATTTTGTCTACTTTGTGTTTATGTTTTGTTTTTCTATATTTGGTTTGTTAATATTTTTTTTCTTCTTGTTCTTCTCTTTTGTTTGGTTATTGGTTTTTATAATAGATGCAGATCTTTGTTAAAAATTTGGCAGAGAGAGAAAAAAGGACAGATTCATTGATCAAGAGGATAAAAAGGATTCAATGGCGACAATTGGAATCTCATACAACGGAAGAGCTTGAATCATTTTATGAGCGACAGTCAAAATTAGTCTCAACTTTAGATCCACCTAAACCATTACCTCATAAATTAACATCATCTACAAATCCTCCGACAATTCAAACAGGTGATCAAATTAAATCATCAACTGATTCACCAGTTAACAACATTTTAGATCCATCATTAATTAATCAAAATTCTGGTCTGCCAACTTCGTATAATAGTAATAATAATAATAACCCAACAACATCATCCACTACAACACCTAAAGATGAACCAACTATTCCTGATGAACAATTAACTTCCACTAAACCAAAATCAGAGGGAGATGTGAAACAGTCAAAAAAATCAAACTCCGGATCTTCAACAGCCAATGCACCACCGGTAGTCAATCAATTATTTAATAATTTTACACCTTCAATATTAGATTGTGCTGAAGATGAGCTCTTACGATCGGCTGTTGGTATTATCACAGCGAACCTTAAACTCCTTGAATATAGTTATGATTCTGATGCTACTGAAAGTAGTTCGGGAGGTGAAAGTTGTGATGAATTTGAAAACGTTTTCAGTGACAATTTTTCCAGAACAAATACTAGTTCCAACATTTTAGAACCAATTGAAAGAAAAGCAAATTGGAGATGGTTAAATGAACGAAGCGCTATTGCCTCTCGATGGACATGGTTACAGGCTCAAGTTGCTGATTTAGAATTTAAAATTAGACAACAAAATGAAATGTATCGCCAATTAAGAGCTAGCAAAGGATCAATAGCCTTTTATTGTAAAGAAGCTCCAACCAATAATTCAATACCAAATAGTTTAACAAAATCATCATTAACAGCAACACCAAGAGCAACACCATCATCATCTTCAATTTGGACACAACAACCAACATGTTCAACATCTTTACCAATGAACACATCGCCATCAACAACCACACCAAAAACTCCTTTACTCTCAAAACCTTGTATCCAAATACCACCAATAACACTGTCCACCCCGCCATCAACACCTAATCTAGATTCATTAGAAAACACCAGTAGTACAACCACAACTACAACCACAACCACATCAACAACCACAACTGATAGTCTATCAATTGATGTTAGCTCATTTAAATTTGCAAAGAATACACCATCTTCCAATTATAATAGTAACAACAATAATAATAATTCTGGTAAACTTACCAACATGTTAGGATCTAACAATGGAACACTTAACACCCAAGGTAATCTGAGTTCCAGCAGTGGTCCAAATAGTAATGGTCTAAGTGATTACAGTTTACCTTCAGTTAATAGTGATTCAACAATTTCTTTATCTCCTCCATTGGAAAATTTGGCGGCCTCATCATCAAGAACCAATTCACCGCAACCATCATCTTCTAATCGTTTATCCTCTTTCGAATCTTCTTTACAAGAGTCAACAACAACAACTTCTACAACCACAAGTACCACCACCACAACAACAACAACCACTACTTCTACTTTCTCTTCGTCTCCCTCAATCACAACAACTACTTCCACCCCAACCATCCGATCCTCATGTAACTCAACCTCTACACCACCAATTACAACAACAACAACAACAAGCGCAACTGGTACAACACCATCGATTGCACCACAAAAACAACCAGGAGGATTAAACAAAGATTGTACTACTCCCTGTGGCGAGGAAAAGCACGATATCACATTAAACAGTGAGAAAGAGATTCACCACTGTGCCCGAACTTTACCATTGAAACAAATGCGGAAAAGGAAACTAGTCCGATCTTGTAATGCTATTACGGCCTCACGTAAAATCGCTCGTTACTCAACAGTCCAGTGTAGTTGCTCAAATTATCCTAAATTTGTTTCGCCTTGTGTTTTATGCAACGGTCGCTTTAGTCATCTCCAAATGGTGGACACTGATTGTATGCCCAACTATGAACGGTACGCGCTTTTGGACCCAAGTTATCATCCGGTTTTATCGCTGCCCACTGGTGAGTTTAAACATCGAATATTTTTTTTCATCTTCTTCTCTTTTACCTTGATGGAGAAAGGGATATTTTTCGTAATTACTTCCTCATCTCTCTCTTTTTTTTTCTCTTACAAACTTAACGAATGCCTTACTTTTCCTACTATGTGAATATTCAAAGTTATTCATTAGCTTGATGGAAATTTAGCTAATTACTTATGCATAACAATCATGATAATGATAACCAATTGAATCACAATTACACTTAGAAGAGATTCTTTGATTTCATTAGAAGGTGTATGTTGAGAATATGTTTAGTTGATTGTCGTTAATCATCTTAAGATTAAAACTCTCGTAATTGTGTAATTTTTTTATTAGAATTTGAATTGTTGATGTGATATTAATTTTCTTTTGCAATTCTACTAATTATCTTATGAATAATTTAATTACTCTCATGCTTCGTTTTAGGATTAATTCTTTTCTTTTCTATAGTTGCTGATTATTCATTAATTATCTCTAATTAATTGATTGGTTTATTAAATCTTTCTAATCTTAATTAAGTTATCATTAGGCTGTATTAACTTTGCCAAACAATTCAGTGATTGTTTCACTTAAGTTGATTATCATTTTGATCAATCATTTAACTTTTGAGCTTCATCATGATGATGAAATAAAATCAATACAAATGATATTAGTTTATCTTTATTTACGATTTTTCATTTAATTAAGTTTACATTCAATGTTTTTTTTTAAAACTGATTGAATGTCTTTTATTGTGTTTACTTGGCACCATTTAAAAACAATTAATTATTTTTTGATATTAATTAAAAGTGAGAATCAGTAGAAAACGTGTTTACATTGTTGAGTTGAATTTAGTAAAAGATATTAATGTTTGATATTAATAATATTTAACTTAATAAATTGAAACAAATCTTATTGTTATTTAATTGTTATTAATCATCAGATTGTTTTGATTGATTTGATTAGATAGTTATTAGTTAACTGATTGTTTGGATTAAAAAAAAAACTTTTTTTCTCTCTGTTTTGCTTATTGAAAGAAAAATGTGAAAGTTGATTGAATAAGAAAAGATGATTATTATTATCAATAGGAAGAAGCTGAAATTATTGGATAAGTAATAACAATAATAAGAATAATAAATGATAATAGTTAATTATAATTCTCAAGTTAAATTCCAATAATAATGAGGGTTTAAAACTTTTATCAATAAAAGGTAATATGTGAAAGGATTTTGTCGGAAGAAGATAGTGAGAGGATAAACGATTGGATTAAGAGAAGAGAGAGAGAATGAAGATGAAGATGAAGGTGAAGAAAATTCTATAAAAATAGAATCAAAGATGAGGATGATAATGATTATGATGGTGATGAAGAAAGAAAGAGAGAGAGAGAAGAGAGAGAGAGAGAGAGAGAGAGAGAGAGAGAGAGAGAGAGAGAGAGATAAGTGTTATTAATTGTCTAAGCCTGACCATCATTTTCATCATCATGTGTCAAGTATTTTGTCTTCGTCTTGTTTTTGTTTATTGATGGAGAGTCATCATTATATTAACAATCAATATTAATAAATTTGTATTCTCCATCTTCTACCTCATAAACATCCTCCACATCTTCATCTTGATCCTTATAACTATCAAGTATTAATCCAATCTTTATCTTCAACATAAATATATGATGAAATTATATAATGATTTTAATAAGATTAGAATAGTTGATTAACTATTTAAAAACAATGGATTGAGAAAAGTAGGAAGAAAACCTGACAACCGTAAAAGTATTTCAATGATGAAAATTGATGAATATGAAAGGATGATGATAAAAAAGAGAAAGATGATGTCAACAGATTCTGTCTCTTTCTTTTCTTTTCTTTTCCTTTCTGTTCTCATCTTCATCTCTATTTAGGTGATATAAAAATAATAAACAATTTTATCGATACTTATGTTTATGTTTATATTTTACTTCTTATTATGTAATTTGTATGTGTATTCACTTTATAACCAAATACCTTGTTTCTATATTGGGCTGTTATTAATGATATATTTTTATACATTTTGATTCGAGAAAAAAAGTTACCTTTGATAATGTTGATTCTGTTAATTGATTTTGACTAAATTAACTTAATAACCTCCTTTGATTGGAGCTCGACTCGTCTTGCTTGGCTCTACAAATCTATTACCTGTCCCAAAATCTAATGTAGGAAAGTAGGTTTGACCACCGTGATGTTGTTGTTGTTGTTGTTGAACAGGTTGTTGCTGTGGTGAAGGATATTCTCTAATTTTATCACCTTTGATGGGCTCAGGTTCGTGATCGAAAGATGAATCATCATTTTGTGTTACAGGTCTTTGAATGGGCTCATAGTGTTGTGTATATGTTTGTTGAATGACTGGAGTTTGAACGACAGGTTCAGGAGCGGGTGCTGGGGGCGGTGGAGGAGGAGGTGGTGGTGGTGGGGCAGTTTTACTAGGAATTTCTCTGACTATCTGTGCTGGACTCCGATAAAATGTTTGCTTTGCTGGTTCTCTGTATATTATTTTGTCACTCACAATGTTTGGTGTTGTCTCTCCATGTGAGTGTATTTGATTGTCCATTCCAAAACAATCCATGGCTGCCATCATCATCCATGTGTCCATTGCTTGATTCATCATTTGATTATTAAGTTGATCAATTGGACTGTAAACGGGTTGATGTATGATCGGTGCTGATGGTTTAATTATAGGTTGAGGTGGTGGAGTGAATTCAGGCATAGGCATGGGAACCATCATGTATTTGATTGGTTGAGGTTGTGGTGGAGGTGGAGGTGGCGGTGGGGCCTGAACTGGTGCTGGAATCATCATGTAACCTGCTGATGATCCATAATTTGATTCTGATCCCCAACTTGAGCCAGAGTCCATTAGATTACCGAAAGGTCTCATATTTCGTAATGCAGCTAAATAATTTCCACTCATTCCACTCAATTTACCTTTTCCTTTCATTCTAATGGAGAAAATGTTTTTTTTGAAGAAAAAAAAACAATTAATTTAACTCTAAATGACTAATTTATTGTCAAACAATTGACAATGAAAATCATTAAAGATTTAAAATGATTGATCCGATTACTATAACATGAGATTAACATAGTCATGATTGATGCATCTTCTTAATTGAAGTGATTCAATTCAATGATTAGCATGTGATGCATAACTAATTTGCTACTATTATTCAATTAATATAACAATTTAACTAGATTTTCCTAATAGAATATAATGTAAACTTTGTTTGCTCAATTGATTAGCTAATCATATTAGCGATTTAATTGAACAATTAAATGAATAAATGAGAAGATACTTACGGAAAGGGTATCGGAAGTAAAAGAATCTTTTTCCTAGGCTTTAAAGCCAACATTAAAGGTAGAACATCCTTAATCTTTTTCAGAACTTTCTTCTTCTTGAATCCATTTGCTTGATCACTTAGATTAATTAATAAAAGGCCAGCGCATAAAATAACAAACACTATAGTCCGCATCTTTGATGGATGTTGATCTTGATGATGGTGATGAAGTTAATTTTCGTTGACGTTAAACTGTTTGTTTTATTTGTATATTGTGTGATGATAATGATGATGATAGATGCAAATTGAACAACAATAAATGTATTAGATGAAAAACTTATACCAACTATGATTGAAAGCGAAGGAGAAAGTTTCTTTGATGGAGAGTAAATCAGTATCCATTTGGATATCGATGAGTCCATTTCTTTTAAAAGGATCTTTTAGGTCAAGCGTGGACGAGAGGGAGATGAAGAGAAAAGAGGAGGGAGGGTGGAAGAGATGGAGAGTGAGAAGAAATTGACGAAATTGATGAAAAATGATGATGCGGATGTTGAATGAAGATGATGATAGAAAGAAAGAAAGAGAGAGAGAGAGAGAGAGAGATGAGGATGAAGACGATGATCCAAGTTGAAAGAGGACGATTTGACTAAATAAACATTGACTAACTAATATTATTATAATTATCTTATATAAATTATATTAATAATTATATTATAGACGAGTAGTTATGATTATATTGAAAAACACTGTTGCTGCTGTTGTTGTTGTTTTTGTTGATGGGATAGTTTTTTGTTAACTTGTCATTACAGGTAATTATTCAGGTTAATCTGTATGATGATCAAACTTTTAGATAATTAAATAGATCAATCGATAAATGGTCAGTTTATTTAGATAGATTTTGTCCATCTAATAGGCGATATATTTATATACCACTAATCATTATGATTGTTCAATTTCTAGTTTTTCTCAATCACTAATTTCTCTCCTCTAATCTCTTAATTAATTGAGTTTTTCTCTCTTTTATTTAGTAATTACTTAAAAATATCTTTCATCTTAATTGTCAATATACATGATGTATTTTCTAATCAAATTCCAATTAATAACAGTTGGACAATATTATCCTAATGATTGTCATCAGAATCAAATTGTCAGATTTGTTCATTTGTATTAGTATCGGTTGATTAACAGAATAATAGTTTTATCTTAAGGATTAGAATCTTTTCCCTTGAATTGTAGATTTTAAATTCATCTAATCAACAACTTAATCAATAATTAAATATAGTTATTAATGATTAAATTGATGATCAACTTTTTTTTCCCTCCAATTTTCATAAATGTTAATCGATTGCATTAAACTTTTTCCCCTCCAATCTATTGATGGATATAAATCAAACTTAATCTTATTCATTGAGAAAACTTTGATTCTTTAAATTTACTGATTGTTACTATTCAATTGATTGTTATGATCTCGCAAATCATTTGAAAAAAAAGTGTTGAATTTAAATAGTTTGAAATACTTTCATTTTTTTCTCTCTTTTCTTCAATTGTGATTATTTTCTGTTGGAAACTTTTCTCAATTGAATTAAAAACTTTTATATTCATACGTTTATATAAATCACTGGATTGATCATTGATTCTCATTGTTTCCTTGTTTTCATTTGTATATCCCCTTATTAATCAATGATTTCCATTAATAATGATCTTAATTATTTAACTTCTCATCGTTCCCATTTTAGATGTTGCATTAGGATTGTATTTCTCAAAGATATTGAAAAAAGACACCACCGCCGTTCAGAAGCCATTAAAATCAAGAATAACCGGAACAACAATAGCAACCTCAACATCGTCAACATTATCAGCATTATCATCAACATCAGCACCACAACCAACCAAAACTAAATCAACCAATAAAAGGTAAACATTTTGACTATATCAAATTATGATCTGGTGATAATATGTGATATAAAATAACAGTATCACTGAAAATCGTAACCTATTATTACTTATCATTAGTTGGCCTGATGTTTGATACTTCAAATTTCATAATATCTTCCGTTTTTGTTTTATATATATTGACACTATTATTAATAAACCATTTTCATCTTTTATGTATCAATTTTTATAGCAGGTCCACTCACTCAGAGTTTCCATTCAAATTTGGTCAAGATAATAAAAAGACTCAACTTAATCGAGGCAAATCTCAGGCCATTATATCATCAACAAGTAAGTATTAATATAATCATCCACTTGATAAACACCCACAAATCAATCGATACAAATTTTAATCTCTTTCTTTTTGTTTCATTTATATATTATCCTTACTCCTTAATTTAACAGAATTAAAAAAGAAATATGATGGAACAACGAAAAAGAAATACGCCAAAAAGAATAATAATCTTCGAAAACGAAACTTCCGTGTTAAAAACGACCAAACACACGGTGAATTCCCATCACCTCTTTCCTCTGAGAATTCACATACACCGATCCACAGGAGACGTCGAAGTGAACAATATGCTTACGATATTAATAATATCGTAATTCCTTATAGCATCGCGTCAACAACTCGAGTTGAAAAGTTACAATATAAAGAGATTATTACACCTAAATGGCGATTCGTTGAAAGTGATAACAATACCAATGATAATAATAATAGTTCTAGTAATAATAATAATGATAGTAAAGAAATGCAAGAAAGTATCAACGATGGTAAACAAATTCAACAGCAAACTTTGGATAATTCAAGTGAAAAGAATAACATCTTTAAATTTGATCAAGCAGAGGAAACGGATGAAGATATTTCAGATGAAGCATTTGCTATTCGTCATGCCAAATGTGAAATAGATGAAAGAAGACAGAGGAATCTTCATCTTCATCAAAAATCATCTTCAGCAACAACAACTAAAAATCATCATAATCATCCACATCCACATCCAAGTCCACAATCACCATCAACGGAAATCATGTCATCTTCACCCTCGCTCACTCAAAATTCACACACCCAACCTTTTCAATGATCATTTCTATTGCTTACTTGTCTATTATTATTATTATTATTATTGTCGAAACAAACAAAAAATACATTCTATCTCTCTCTCTCTCTCTCTCTCTCTCATTATTACTCACCTTCTCTTCTTTAACCCTCTTTTACCCGGTCCCAAAACATCATTAATGCTTTTCTCATCTTCAATTCATCATTTGAAATCAGCTGATAAACACTCTGTCCATAGAAACCTTATTTCAAATTTCTCGTCGCATGTAAGCTCGTATTTGCGCCTTTTGCACTCAAACAAACAAAAAAAACCACAACAAAAACTATAAAGTTAAACAAAACAATTGAAAACAAATTAATAAAAAGCAAAAAAAAAATGATTTAGCATTGTAATTATTTTATCAATTAAATTGTCTTAATTAATTATTTCATCAAAGTGAGAGTGAATTTTGTTTACGGAAAAGAAAAGAAAACTTTCTCATTAATAATTATATTTGATTGTCCAAATTTCCGTAAAAATTGTTCACTTAATCAACGTGGCGAGAAAAAAAAGACAATCAAGACAATCAAATTATCATTGATCCTTTTTTTATTATTGTCAATTACCAAGTGATTACAATGATTACAATTTAAAGTTAATTATTAATCAATACTTGAAATCCTAATGATAGGGATGAGTTTTTGTTTCATCAACTATTAAAGCTACAGGTTGAAGGAGAGAGAGAGAGAGAGTTGATTGTAATTGTGAGGATGTTGACAAAAATAGAGTTAAACATGATTAACTTGATGATGATGATAATTTAAAATAATGATAAAGATGATAAAGGAAGAGGATAGTGACCAATTTGCTTTGTTTTGCTAATCATCATCATCTTTTATCCGGATTATCATCATGTGTCAAGTATTTTGTCTTGGTCTTGTTTATTGATGATGTTCACATCATCAGAATGATTAATAATAATACTAATCACAATCACGATGATTATAAACAATGTTCAATCTTATTGAATAAATACCAATCATCATCATCAGTTGTCTCCCTCTATCACTTACAATAAACTAATTTAATAAGTATAAATATAAATTTCAAATAATCTATTGATTGTTGTATTATGATTAAAATAGTTGGAAAAACAATCAATTAATTGATAACAATGTGTTAAGAGGAAGAAGAGTTTAAGATGAGCTTTTCATGAAGAATTGGAAATAAATTGTTAATCAATTATTACGATGATGACAAAAATTTACAATCTTAATGAGTAATTTGTTTTCTCACCTTAAAACCCACAATTAAGCTCTTTTGTTTACTTAATTGTTGTTCGTTAGTAATTAATCAGATTGACCAAAATTTAACTTCTCAATGAGAGACAAAGTGTAAATAATATAAAAGAAATTGTTTTCTTTCAAGTTTCTTTCATTGATTACAATTTTAATGATTGGTCATCAATTTTTACGTTAATTGTTAGATGGATAAACATTTGCAAATTGTAATTGAGTAAAGGTGAGAGAGATAAAATGTAGGGTTAAAATGAGGACAATTGACAAGAATGTTAAAAGAATGAGTTTCAACATTTACAAGTGGAAAGTATTGATAAAAACGGAAGAGGAAATGATGAATTAAATAATATTACAAACTGAGGAATTGATATTTTGTGGGTAATCAGTTGATTGGTGGTGTTAACTTTTTTTTTTACATTGGCTGGGTGATTATGATTCGACTGTGGCTAATTTGTTGACAACTTGTCTGTAATCATCTTCCAATTGGCAATAGAGTAAATTTAATTCTTGTAATCGAGTTTCCTTGTTTCCTAAAACACTGTTTTCTTCATCTTCGGTTAATTGATTTCGCTTCATTTTCAATGAAGGAGCATTAAGACGACTTTTGACCTCTAATCGGAAATTTCTCATCTGTTCTTCGTCAAATTTGTTGATTGCCTTATATTTAAGGATCTCATATACTCGGCGTATTTGTTTCTTGGTCAATTTGAATCTTGCATTTGCCTCTTTGACCATTTCTTCATTCCAACCTTTCATTAATTCTGTTAATTGGAAGCTCATCAATTGGGAACAGTTTTTACTATCAACGTAATCACGAAGTCGGGCAAACTCTTCCGATTGATCTTCAACCGTAATATCCATTATTTTATCATCTTCATAATAGGTTTGGTAAATTGCTTGTAAAAGCTTTTCACCTATTCCTCGACGTTGGAATGGAGGTAAAATTAGGAATTGGGATATTCGAGGACGAGTTTTATCCGGGAAAGCATAGTAACGGTAAACTGTTGCATATCCAATGAAATAATAAGCAGGATAATCATTTCCGTCTTTGTAACACTTTTCATAGACCACAAAGTAATCCCATTTACGATCTTCAATATCAATATAAGAAGAGGCATCAATGTACCAAGTCAGAAAGGTTTGGATACTTTCATGATAAGCCTCGAATCCGGGAACATCCATATCTGCTTGATAGATTTCATAAGTTCTCTCTATTCCTGGAGAATCGGTTGAACTGGAAACGGAAGATGTTGAAGCCGAGCTTGAAGAGAATCTATTGGATGGCTAGAGAATCAAAGAAAAGGCAAACAACAAGAAATTAGATGAATAATTTCAATGCGAATCAAGAACATTGATAAGTTATATGAAATTACAGAATTGACAAGATGTTAATTAACGTTGATTTAATCCAAATTTAAAATTATCTGTCAAATAAATTGATGAAAGACTAAAGGGGAATTTAGATTCTTAAATCTTCTTGGTGACATAACCTTGCACCCGGGAAAAAAAGCTAATCAGTAGGATTATTTTGGCGCGATAAATGTTAACATACCTTTTTAGTTATTTTAAATGAGTCCAATTGTGTACCAAATGGTTTAAAATCTGTATCATTAGCTAATTGTGCCGAAAATTGGTCAATATTGGTTAAAAATGTGCCACCCAATTTTTCCGAGAGAATTTGTAAAACATCATCACCAGGAACTCCTTGACTTTTAACAATATCAACCTTCTCAGAATAATCAATTGAAATATATCTTATCAATTTACAGGCTGAATAATATAAATTGATTCTTAGATTTTTATAGCCAAATATATTCTCCGATTGACCAAACAGTTGATGACAAAATTCAGGTTGAAAGGTTAACTCTTTATCCACCTCATCATCTTCCAAGGCTTTAACATTTCGGATCAATTTCAAGTAGATAACCTCACTACCAGCGCACACAAAACTGTCCAGGTAAGTTTTAACCGATCCAAATGATCCTTAATAGTTAAACAAAAAGAAAATAAGTAATTCCAACCAAAAAAGAACAAAAAATAGAAAAGAAAAAAAATAAATAACAATGTGGTAAATATACCAAAGGAAAAAGGGTGAAGAAAAGAAAAAAACAAAGATACTGTTTAGAAAAAGATTAATTATTCTCTCTTTTTAAAGGGTTAATCAGAGAATCAATTGTTACACATTGATCACAAGAACATAAGATTTAATTACTTACCCGACATAATTAATTAGAGAGTTAAATTGTTATTCCAAGAAAGGTGATCAACCAAGGAGAGACAAATTTGGAAATAAATAAAAATTTGGTTACACAGGAAAAAGAAAGTACAGTTACCGCCAAATTAGAATTTTCTTCTCGCCACCAACAGATGGCGACACTTAATTCTTTTGGCGGGATAAGAATTTGAAACAATTAAGAAGCGAAAACAAAAAAGTAAACAATTAATTAGACAAACTAATTACAATTAGTTTATTTGTATTTTCTATTTTTTTTCAATACAAATCAATTTAGAATTTTCGATTGATTAGGTAATCCTTTAGATGTATATAAATGTCTAGAGAAAATTTTGATTGTTTCGATTGTGACAATTAATTTTGTTCTTTGGTTTTTTAATCAACCGTTTTGTGACTTGATGATTTTTAGTTGTTTGTTTTATTTTTCTTCTTCTATAATTTTTTTTTGTTCTCTGGTTCAACAATTAAGGTGAGAAAGAATTGAAGATCTTATGTGTTTTCTTACAAGAATCCAATTGAATTGTTAAAGTGATTTTAATTTATCTCTTTGTGTATTTATAGGAATTGGAGACAATGATTTCCACCAGAAACTCTGCCAATGGAAACAATGGAGATTTAATTTTACTTTTAATTGTTGTTGATTGTCTTCACAAATTGTCACATAGTTTTAAATTGTTTCATCTCTCTCATTGTACAAACCATTCTCATTTAAGTGTGGATATGGAAAAGAAATTGGATAAAATTAATCTATTATGTAACAAAAGGGGTTTTTCTTTGAGGCCTAACTTTTTCCTAAAGGGAAACATTAGTAACCTGCTGAGCTTTTTTTTTCGGGTAATGTATGAATATATTGTATTATCACTAACATAAGCTTGTTTAGTCACATAATTTATTATTAAGAAACTAAAGAAATTATGAAGAAAAGGAAAATATCTAGTTAATATCATTAACTTTAATGAACTTCTACTACCTGCTGAATATTAAGATGATATGATAAAAATAACGAGCAATTGTTTTTGGTGAACAAGTTAAATTATTCTCGGTGAACACAGAAAGTCAACAAATACAAAGTTAAATTTAGAAGAAAATTTAAATGGTAAGAATCATATTTCATAAACATTTAACTTTAATTCTCTCAAACATTTTAATATGTTTTTTTTCTCTATTCTTTCTCATTCTATTCCATAGATAAACTACCATCACCACCACCATTGGAATAGGAATGATTCCTCCGCCTTCTTAACCTTCCTCCTTCTCTAACTTTTCCAACTTATCTTTTTGGTTCCATCATCAGGGTGATCATCATCATCATCATGAACATCATCACCATTTTACTTATCATTATCATCACCATGATCATCAACCCATAAAGACAGAAGCAAAAATGAAAAGAAAACAACTTTAACTAATACCTCATTCTACCTTTTATTGCACTGAGGTTTCTTTTCCCATTCTCTCAATGGTAACAATGGTAAACCTTTTCTCCATGGAATTGGAACAATATATTACTACTGAATATTTTCACTCTCTCTCTGACTTTCAACGAAATCAAGCAATTGCAACCATTTAATTCATTTCTATAAAAGTGTTAACCTTTAATCAAAAATGGAGGAAAAAAGTGGCAAGCCCTTAATTTGATTAAATTTGACAAAGGAAGAGCATCAATTGGAAACCAACAGTGGAAAAATGTATCCTCTAACAATAACCACTTTCTATCCACTCTCAACATCCTTAATCATCATCATCATGGTAAAAACAATATGAAGATTAAAAAGTAACTAATGGAATGAAATTAATGAAAAAAAGCTATACTAACGAGATGACAATAAGGATTAAACGTTATTAGCTGTTATTATTATCATCATTATGGATTTGCTACTAATACTAAACTCTTAGTGTGTTCACCTTTATATTATTAAATTAAATTAGCTGATATAATAATTATCAATATCATGTAATTTAATGAAGCAACAAGGGACTACCACCAGCATCTTTAGACTCACATAATCTTTACAAAGTGTATACATTAATCGTCACCATCATCATCATCAACATCATTATCTTCATCATCACTTTTCATCCATCAACCATGATGAATACACTGTTACTCTCTATCTCTCTCTCTCGCTCTCTCTCATTCATCTCCATCTTCTCTCATCGCCCTTAAGCCATATTTGAACAATGTTGGATACGAATCCAATTACTAAAGTATGACGCTAATTGGATATACGAGGTATATATTTTCATATCATATGGAATTGGATGAAAGAGAAAATAAAGAAACTATTGTGGAAAGTTTCATCTTTTCATCTTCTTACTTCTTGAAACAGGAAGACAAGGAGAAAAAAAAAGATGACAAAGATGATAAAGCTAAAAACTTTATCATGATAGCCTGAAGGAAGCCATAATTGATCTGCTTGGAGGGAAAATGATTCTCATTGTCAACATTGGAAAAACAAATACATTAACCCATATATTCAAATGTTTCATTCAAGTAAAAAGAAGATGCCTTTTACTTACACCCAACAACAATTAACTTTAAAAATGATTCTAATTTTGAGGTGACTTTATCATCTTTATCTTGATATTATATTTTATGTATTCAAAGAAAGAATCAACAAACAATGACTTACAAAATCAACTATCAATCAAATGTGACCTTTTTTTGGGTTGATTGTTATTTGATTACAATTATATTGATGACAGCAAAAAGTGAATCAACTGACCAAATAACTGGATTCATGATAATCATATAAATCATCATGATGGCGCATAAAGTGTTGAGATATTCAATGAAAGGAATAAAATGTAAAAAATAGATGATTAGACTCATCATCATCTTCATCTTCATCATCATGAATTATGTATTGATAACATTGAAAGAGATCTAAGATCAATCATTGAGCGAGAGAGAGAGAGAGTAACTTTTTTATCATCATATTGAATCTGGCCAAATATCTAATGATAATAATACTCAGTCAACAATTATCATAATATCAATTGAAGATAAGTCGTCATTCTGAATGAGTTTTTCTCTCTCTCTCTGTCCTCCTCATCATCCCAAAGAGAATGGGAGAAAGAAGATAAATGAAAAAGATTCGGATGATATCATGTCCAAGTGATTGATTCAAAGGATTGCCAAGAATCTAAGAGATATATATATTATATTACACAGTGGAATCAAATCATCATCACCCCCACCCCATTATCATCCTCTAACTTCATCTTCCTCCAAGAAAATCATGTTAACTGATGATGATAATGATGATGATCCATTTTTCCTCTTGAGAGGCAATGATTTATAAGATATCAATGCTTTTCCAATTTAATTTATTTGTCTCCTTCATTGGTCATCATCATCATCATCCTACTCATCATTACCGATTTCCTCCTTTTTATTTTATCCTCAGCATCTCCATCCTCATCCTCATCCCCATCATCATCACCATCTCTCTCTCTCTCTCTCTCATTAGTTTCTACTTTTTCATCCTCATCCTTTTTTTCATAATGAGATAAGATAAAATGGCGATTCCATTGAAATTGATCGGTTGTTATTAGTAAATTACATTAGTTAGCTGATTAACAATTCAACTAACCCAACAAAATTATCCCTCTTCACCTTATATCAAACTTATCTTCATCATCATCCTTTCCAGTAATTGATTATTATCATCCTCATCCTCATCCTCATCACCATTATCTGGTTCAATAATTAATCCAATGAAAATCAAACCGATGAAGTTAAAGTCACCAATCAAGCTCAATCTAATCAAAATGATAATCATTTTGAACAACACAATCAATTTAATCAATATATCATTTCGTCCCATCCTTATATCTGATTAAATTGATTCTCATGTGTAATAATAATACTAATCATCAACAACCGTTATTATTATATGATAATAATAATTATCAATCTTAAGTATCTTATGTTGATTAATTGATTATTAATCTATTTCTCATCCCAATCAATAACAACAATAATATCCTAACAATTATCATTCAATCATTAATTTTTAAGTCTTTCTCTCAATATCTAAGTGACACAATAATTGTCACAATTAATCCTGCAAACAAATTAAGATACAACTGAAATTAATCCAGAGACAAAAAAAACAATCATTGTGATCAACCAACAATTTGATTGTAAGTGATTCATGATACATTTAATGTATCACAATCAAATAACAACAATCAAATTAAATGGTTGTTACAAAACAACAACAACAACAACAACAAATTATCATTATCATGTTTACACTCAATGATGTTGTTATTTTTTTGTTGTTGTAAAAGCTTTTGAGTGACAAATTAAATGGATAATCAAATCCGACAGTTATATAACTTAACTAATCTGATTCCTTGTCTTTCAGTCCCATGAACATGATCATCACCATGAACTTTCCTGAATCCTATTCCAATGAGAGTTATCAGTTTCAATTTCAATCTTTTCACTTTGAAATTGAACAAAAAAAGTTTTCGATCAAATTTTTTTTTCTTTACCATAAAACTAACATCTAATTCATTTTTGATTGTTGACTTAATAGTCTCTCTCTTTACTTAACAATTTACCGTTACATAAATTGTTCACTGATTGTTTGACCAACTCAGGTTTACTTTTCTTTATATGTAATTACAATTTAATGATTGTCATCAATCATTTGCCACTAAACAAGTTTAACATTAAACTTGATGAAAACATGAAGAAAAAAGTTAATTGTTAAAAGTAATTAAATTTCAATGTTTTAATTTACAATTTAAATCTTGATCAATAATAGTAACTTTTAAATTATTGTAATTGTTTAACAAATTGATTTTATTTTGTTGACTGAATTTGTTGCTGTTTTGTTGTGCTGTTTGACTTGAGTTTTGTTGATTAGTTTGCATTGTGATTAGTTAATTTTGTATTTATTAAATTAGTTGTCTTTAATTGAAATTTAATCATCTACCAATTGTCCGCCTTGAGGTTATTAAGTGTCTCAATTTAGCTAAATTGGTTTGAGTTAATTGATCATCAGGTTTTAATCTTAAAGCGGTGAGGTAACTTTCCTCCGCCTCGGTTAGTTTACCATTAACATGAAGCATTGCCCCCAAGTTCATGTGCGAAGTGACCTCATTTGGCCTGAGTCGAACTGCATCCTGATAATATCGTTCAGCCTCTTGATTTCTTCCCGAAGTTCTCAAAACATTGGCCGCCGCAAAAACGATCTCATAATCATTTGGACTAAGTCGAACCGCTTTCAATAAACAATCAGCTGCTTCTCCGTGATTACCAATTTCAGCTAAGAATTGACCTGAGAATGGAAAAGGTAAAGAAACAAATAATAATCAGAATCAATGTCAATCATAATCATGAGAGAAAAATGTTATCGATTTAATTTTTTTTCCCAATTTTGAATGAGGAAAATTCATCATTTCAACTTTTGGAAAACAATGAAAATGAGATTTACTTCATAAGCTTTTCCTTTTCTATGAAATTCTCAATGTTCATGATGTCTGAATTAAAGATACACCAAATGAATTGAAAGAAAAGTCAATTCTCTTGTCAAATATATATCACAACATAATCTAATCTAATATGTAAGCAGAACAAAAAAATAACGGTAAAAAAAAGTTGAAACTCTTAATGGTGTTTGTATTCAAAATGGAAAAGGGGTTTTATATGTCAGGGTGGAAAATAAGATTACTGGAGGAAGATAAATTTCTGAGGATTTTAGGAACAAATTTCATGGAGGAAAGAAAAATTTTCAGCATCGATATTCAATAGAAATGATGAAATTATCAAGGAAAAAAAGTTCTTGTCACATGATATATACGATTAAGATGATGAGAAAATTCAAATTATTTATATTACCCACTCTCCATGGAGAGTGGGTTCAGTTTGTAAGATGAGCCTTTTTCCCACCATCACCCCTTAAAAAAAACCCACTCTCACTTTGGTGTAATTTGTTTACTCAAATCTTAAAGTTTAATCAAACAAAAAGTTTTAATTGCTATGCAATCAAATGTAAATTCAGTTTGAAAAGCTCATCCATCATTCATGAACCATTTAATTAGTATCAAGAAATTCATCATGACAACATGATGATGATGATGATGATGATGAGTAACTGAGGTTCTCATTTCAATGAATTTTCATATATCACAAGTTTTGACAAAAAAATTTTTCTACAGAAAAAAAAATTCTGTTCATTTCTCATCTCATGATAATCATGGTAAATACTCAGAACTTTTCATTAAATTAATGTTTAAACAAAAATCTCATGTCAACAATTTATATTCAGATAAATGAACAAAAAAAGTTCTGATTATCATGATTAACTAATAATCATCACGAAAGATGAAGATGATTAAAAAAACTCAATCATGGTTGATTGAAACAATCAGAATCCCCATAGATAACTTTTGATTGAATAATTTAAATCTCTATCAAAGTTAAATGATTAATTAGTCTAATCACTAGAATTGGTAACCATGGTTACCAGAACTTTATCTTAATCATTTTCAGATAATTAATCAAATTTAAGAGACTAATAGTTGAATGGAGACAAAAATCAAGGAAACTAATGTGATTAGTTAATCAAGAGAGTCTAAATTGTCAATCAAAAAGGTAAGTTTATTACAATCTATTTACTATGGTGTGTCAATGTTAATTAACCTGTTTAATGAGTCACACTTAATTGTTCAAGATTATATAAGTTGGTTAAAAAAATTAATTCCTTCTTGTTATTAATATTTTTTACTCTTTCCACTTGAATTAATTTAATCATAATCAACGGTATATGTATTTGGGTTGATCATTATGAGGCTTAATTGTTAATTGCTCAGTATGATAATCAAACTTTTACTATGACTTTTTTTTTGCTCAACAATCAAGTTAATAAATCAAATTGTTTATTGTGACTATCAAAGTGAAAATATATCGACCAATATAATGAAAATAGTTAATTATCATCATTAACCATTAGCAATTAGCTGGAAACATAGACACACAATTTACATATAATATCATTACAATTAATATATTGTAGCTTGATGATATTAAGGGTTGAGTGATTACCGAATCATCATGAGATTAAATTAATTAATAATTAATTCATTAAATCGCTTAGAATGATAATAATAAAGTATATTGATCTTACAATTGGCTTTTCATGTAATTGGATTAAACTAAGATCTAAATCCTAATCAGTGTAATTTTATAATCCTTAATTGTTAATCAACTTTTACAATCAGTGGACAATTAACTTACCATAGTGTTGGTAGACACTTGAATCATTTGGAGCCAAAATTTGGGCTTTTAGGAACCATTTTCTGGCCTCTTCTGGTCTACCCCATTTAGCTAATAACTTGGCGTATGTTAGATGAGCGGGAATGTGATCTTTTTTGGAGATTAGCGCTTTTTTGTACCAAGCTTCCGCTTCCGGGTATCGTCCTAGCTTATAATAGGCCTCACCAAGCATATTGAATAAAGATTGTGGTTGATAATGGGCTGGCATCCGTTCAATTGCCTCTGTGAATACCTTGATCGCTTCCTCGTACGAACCTTGGTCCGAATATAATTGGCCTAAATTGAAAAAGGCCGATATTCGTGTAGCCTCATGAGTCTTTGGATCTTTAAGTCCAGTTCCATCCAAGCGAGTACAATGCTGATAAACTTTAATTGCTTCACTTTTACGTCCTAATTTAGTCAAAACTAAGCCCATATTTAGATAGGCCAAGGCCAGGCGAGGTCGGAATTTGATTGCGTTCGTGTAACTTTGCAAGGCCTCTTGGTAACGATCTTGATCTTGTAATAAAATACCACTGGAAACGGAAAAGACAAACAAAATAAGATGAAAATTTCAACCCAAAACAAAAAAATACAGAATAAAGATTCAGGGGAAGTTCAATAAATTAAATTGATGATGAAGAAGATGATGATGATGATGATAAAAATGCCAATGATGAGAGTGACTCAAGGAGAGTGGGGGTGGACTGGGAATGATATATTAGGCTTTTCCTGTCGATGGAGGTTGAAAAATTGAAGGTAATTTGTTAACATTCAGTTGAACCTTTTACATGCAACATTTAATAGATTGAACTTTTTTTCCTTCCACAAAATTTAAGCTTATTCAACTTTTACATGGTTCCCACCACCACCCACCATCTACCACCACACCCTTCAAACTGTACCGTCAATAATTTGATATATTATAACCTGTCAAACGTTAAATTGTTGTTGTTGTTGTCTGAAAATGAAGGATAAATTGAGAATCCAATATATCAAGAATTGAGTAAAGAGAAAGAGAGAGAAAAAAAAATCAAAATTCTTCCAAGGAAAATGTTAACCTCTTTTACCCCGCTGCCAATATGATACTTTATAAAATATATACTGGAAAATCAACAAATCAAATTACAATTGTGATTAGTAAATCAACAGAATTGAATTTATTTAAGAAATGGAGAGCGAAAAAATTTGAAACAAATTGTTTGATATTCTTATGATTCTAATAATGTTTTTCCATGGTGATAATTTCCATCTCCATGATTATCATAATAATAATCAATGTTATCTGATAACTTGTGTATTCATTGTTTCTCATTATTCCTATGGGAATAAATTGATTCCAATAATATCATTCAAGATAATAATTGAATCCCTTTAGATGGTTGATTGAATTCAGTTCAGTTGATAAACTTTTACTTTGATTATAATAATATGGTAACAGTGTTGATGGTCAGTTTTGGTCAGTTCATTGATTCATTCATTTGAAATCAATGATTATCTGTGACCATTTAATGCATCATTAACACAATCACAATCACAATCATCATCATTACAATCAACCAAAAGTACAACAATCAGTTACTATTAAAAGGACAACAACGATAATAATAATAAACCATTGAACCAATTTTAACAAATCACAATTTACCCAAGACAAACAATTTAACTCAGGTAAAGTTTACAATCAAGTAATCAATGATGATTTAAAAGAGGATGGAAACTACAATTAATTTAATCATGTTGAAAAATTTTCAACCGTAACCACTTTGTTTTGACACGGAAACATTTACATAATTATAATTATCATCATCATCATCCCAACCTTGATTATCTTGATCACGGAAGCAATTAAGGTACGAAAAAATTGTAATCAAAATGATAATTATCATCATGATATGATCATCACACCATAACAATTTATGTGTATAAATGAATCTAATCAGTGATTAGAATTGAAAAATTGTATCTCAATCATCAATGATCAGCAACAATTTAATATTACATGAATTGAAAGCTTGATCATCGTGAGGTGAATTAACAATCAACAATCAACAATCAATAATCCCTAATGATTATGGAGAAGAAGAAAAAAATTCTTAATCAACTTGATATCCAACTAATTTATCAACAAATTAATTGCGACAATTTACTGATCATGATGGTAACAATAAGTTTCATCAAATTAATGATTAATTGATTGAGAAAACAATAATGATAAAAGTAACAAGATGAATGAAATTATAATCAACACCAATAATATACAATTACAATTGAAAGTTAATCATAATATTTGATTATGATTAAGTAAAAATTAAAGGTGAGGCCAGATAATGATGATGATAATCAATCTTGATTAACAAATATACAACAATTGAATTAGAAATGAAATATAATAATAATCATGATTATAATGTTTTCTAAGTGTAATAATTTAAAAAGGATAAAAAGTTTTTGAATAATTTATATTTCCATTCAGGTAAAGCTCATGATATTCAAATGAATTATCATCATATCCTTCAGGGGAATCGAATGAAAGAAAAGAGACTTATCATCATCATCATCATCTTCATCTTCATCTTCATTCAGATACTTTTGATGACCCTGGGAGTTTACCACCGGTGGGAGGGTGGGATTTGCAAAATGATCATAGAGATGATGATGAGCTGTGGGTGTGAATGAATATCATGTCCATTCAATTGGAATCGGGAAGATAACGGGATGATGATGATGATGAAAGGATGAGAAAAGGATGATAATAGTGTCAATCATGATCCCTTTTAAATTGTATTAATACATTAAAATCACCATCAAGAGGGTGGTGGTAGATGAGGACTGGGAAGTGGGAGAGCTGGAGGAAACAGTTGATGCTAAAAAAATGATAATCATATTTAATAATAACTCATAATATTAATACTGGTTGATTGAATTAATGATAAAAAAAGTTTAATATAATTTTTCATGTGAAAATAGTTTGCACTTTATTATTATCGTATTATTTAAAGGATGAAGTTCATTTAACCATGATGATGATGAGGAAGAGGAGGAGGAAGATGAGGATGAGGTATCAGGGGAAGATGTGATGATAAAATGAGCAATTCAATTGAACCATTGGAATGTTTTTAAGGGCGAAAACTTTTACCTTTTAGAAAAAGTTTCGAACTTTTTTTCTGTTTCCTTTTTTGATTCTCAAATGGTAACAATTGTGTTTCGAAATATTTGCAATTTCTGAATGGATATTTAGTTTAGTTGTAATTAAAGTGGGATGAGGATGAAAATGAGGAGGAGATGGAAGATGATGATGATGATGATTAGACAAATTTTGTAATAGTTTGAGTCTTATTATCATGAGATTGTGTATCTGACAGGTTATCATGAAGTTTGAACCTTCATCATGATGTTATATTAGCAAATGGTTTGTGAGATTATGTCTTAAAAATTGGGTTTCTGTTTGTGAACTTTTGATGGATCTCTCATCTTCCACCTCCTCCCACTCATCATCATCATGAGTTTCTAGTATTATTATCATTGTACTAGAAAGTATTATATGATATACAGAGGGAAGAATAGAACAATATTTTTTTTCTCTTTCTTCTCTTCCAATTCAGATTTGATTCTCATCAAACCAACATTCAGCTGATCAAGTATATCATCATCTTTATCCTCATCATCTGACATTCAATTTGAAATGTTATCAAAAAAAACTACAAGAAACAGACACAAACCCAAATCTATCTATTGTTATGATACATTCCCAGTGGGAATGGAGATGAAAATTTCATCTTTCTTTTTGAATTGAGTGGGAATTTCAGGGTGTGAAGAGTTTTCTTAGAAGAATTCCAATTCTCTCCCTGCTTTTTCATCACCAAAGGTAACATTTCAATCCATCGATATTTCCTAATTCTCATAATGATAAAAAATCCACAGTTCTAAGGCTTAGGTGAGTCTCATTATCATTGTGAACGACCAAATAATAACCATCATCAACACAAATTCCCTCTCCAAAATATCTCACTCCATGAACTGAACATATCATCAATAATTTTCCATGGTTGGTTTTTTGTTCTTGTTAAAAAAAGTTTCCACATTAACTTGGTAACTACTTGGACTGAAAATTCCCACAAAAATAGTTTTTTACTTGGACAATGGTCAAGCTTTTGAGTGAGAAAAAATCGATTCCATGATAATAATCAACAGATAATACGAAATAATAACCATGAAATCGAAACTCATTATCATCTCTCTCTCTCTCTCTCTCTCTCTCTCTCTGTGCATTAAACTGCTTGAAATGGACATTGAACATTTAAATCAAAGTGAAGGTTAAATCATTTACTTTTTTTTATGTATTTAAAGGTCAAGATAAACCTGATGGTCAATTATTGGAAAGTTATTATTATATTCATATTGAATATATCAATGGTGAGAAACTCAAGATTGTTTGTATTGCCAAAATATAATAAAAAGAAAAGAAAAAAATTGGAATTATTTTTTTTTCTAATATTATATTCTGATCGATGGAAAGTAAAATAACATATAGAGAATGACTTTGGTTGAGTGGAGAGTGGGAGGTAGTCGTGGTGGAGGAATGGGAGGAGAAGTGGTAAAGAAAATGTTATATTCAAAGTCATTACTTTGGTCAGAGAGAGAGAGAGAGAGACAGAGGGAGTTGGAAAATGTCCAGGAGAGAAAGAAAAAAAATATTCGAAAGAAGAAAAAGTTCTAAGTTGTTATGACTTTTTTTTCTTCATTCGCTTTTCTCTTCTTCCTCTTATTCTACATCTTTTGAAGATGAGGATGAAAAGTGGGATGAAGAAGAAGAAAAAAAGAAAAAAAGTTCTAACCAAGACATTTTCTCTTTTCTAATCTATCTCTTGGGTTCTGTTTAGTTTTTTAAACCCATGCTGAGAATTCAGAGTATTCATGATGATGATGATGAGAAGTTGTTAGAAAAGTTGATGGTCACTCATTCCAATTTTCTGGTCAATCATCTTTCCCTTTGATTCTTGCTGGTGAAACATTTTCACTCGATATTTTTTACCTCATCTTTTTCTCGTTCAAGTTTTTGACCTTATTTCCATTAAACTGGACAATGGTCAGTTGATGACTATCATGAAAGTGAAGTGACTCAACATGAGACTTGATTATTATGTTAAACCAATTAAATTTATGTATAATAATAATTCATGTTAATCAAATCTAATTATAATCAACCAAGAGTATGGAGGGGAAAAAACAAGTTCAACTAATCAACATGAATGATTAATCATGATGAACATGATTAAATAATAACTGGTAAACTCTGATTACTATTTATATTATTCAGACAATTTAATGTCACCAGTAATTCAATTAACTTGCAAACTAACAATCAATTGACAATATAAAAAAATTACTACAAACTTGAAGGATACACAAAGAAAATTAAATTACTATTTATATCAAAGTAAATAATCAAACACAATTAACAACATTTACAATAAATTAAGAGGACAAAAAACTGGACCAAACTTTAGGTCATCTCTCTCTCTCTCTCTCTCTC